AATGATATAAAGAACGCCGGAATCGGAGTTACGGTTTGGAAATGGCAAGCGATTCAAAAATGACACCGGTCTGCGATTTACAGCAAGTAGGCATCTAAATGCAATGAGATGAACATGCTACAACACCCAAACATGACAACAAAATACATGGCATGGATGCTTACAAGATGCTTAACAAAAGTCTAGCACTGAGCTACGGCCAATTCATCCATTAACAGGTTCAAACAAGCATGGCAAAAAAGCAAATGGCAAACAGATCTCAGACTTAGTGAAATTAACACTTGTCTGGAATTTCAGATCAGGTAGCCCTCTTCGAAGCAACAAAACTACATGCTACAGGATCTGAACATGGCAAAGTAAAGCATGGCATGGAGCTACTCAAAGAGCTTAACAAAAGTCCCTTAGTGACCTTGAGCCAAAAGGGATCAGAAAATACAATTGCAAGCATGTGAACATAGCAAAAACATAATCAGTTTTCAGACTTGGTGAAAACTGACACATGCTGAAATATAACTCAAGTAGGCATGTTTACGAGCTTGATGCACTCACTACGGTGCAAGTCATGGCAAGACAAGCATACATCCATCAAGAAGGAATAAAATGCAAGCTAGAAATGGCAAGAACAATAGCATAGCATGCACGGATCAACTACAACATCACCGGCAAAATTGCAAACAAGTTGACAATCTTCCCAGATTCACAAAGTAGCAAAAGTAGAGCTTGATTGACTCAAGCTAGGGTGCTCCATAATTGCAAACAAAGACATGGATGAATGGAGAACTACAATATTAACAAAACTCCCTTACTGATCATCCTCAAAAGAGGCACGGATCACTAGGAAACAACAAGAACATATGGCATCATGAGATAAACAGATTCAGGACTTAGTGATATTACTAAGTCCCTGAAAACAGGATTAGCAAGTGCACCACTTTGCAAGCTTGCACTAGTCAGCACACATATCCTAAAAATACATGGGTTGCACCTCTGAAGAGATGACAAAACCCTTAACAAAACACATGTAGAGCATCGGGGCATATCATGCACACATTAATCATGGCAAAAATGACAAAAGTGCTAAACGGAGTAGCAGATCTGACAATTAACTCAAGTAGCCCTCTTCTAACAGCATTTCGGGCATCAGGATGAGCTCAAATAAAAATGATGCAATGGAATGAAATGATGTACTCTCCGAGTTGAACATTTTGATATGCTATATGCATGAATCGGAGCTACGGATGCAAAGTTACGGAGCCGCAAACATGAGCACTTGGACTGAGAATTTCGGGACTTAGACAAAAAAAATCAACCTCTAGGGTTTTTTGGATCTAGATCTCGCGCACGGAAATCGAGGAACTCCAGCGAGGAACTGTAGCTGCCGGAGAGGAGGAGGTTGCCGGCGACGAGGGGGAAGCCGGACGGCGGCGGCGTGAGGAGGCGGCGGGCGCGGGCGTGAGGAGGCGGCGGCGGGGCAGCTCGGCCCAGGCGGCGGAGGAGGAGGGCCCGCCCCGGGCCTGGCGGGCCGGCGGGAGCGAGGCGGCGGGGATGTGGGCGCACGCCCATGTGGCAGCGCCTGATTGGCGCGGGCGGCGGTGGCGATTTTGTCCGGCGGCGACCGGACGTGTCCGGTGACGGCGGGGGCGATTTCTAGGGTTTCGGGGAGAGAAGGGATCCGGATTTCGGGGGGTGTTTAAATAGGCATAGAGGGAGATAGGAGAGTCCAAATGATGAGCGGTTTTCGGCCACGTGATCGTGATCGAATGCTCTAGTTGATGGAGCAGAGTTAGGTGGGTTTTGGGCCAAATTGAAGGGGTGTTGGGCTGCAACACACGAGGCCTTTTCGGTCCCTCGGTTAACCGTTGGAGTATCAAACGAAGTCCAAACGATAGGAAACTTGACAGGCGGTCTACCGGTAGTAAACCAAGGCCGCTTGGCAAGTCTCGGTCCAATCCGGAAATGTTTAATCCCCACACACGAAAGAAAGCTAGAAATGACCACCGGAGGAGAACGAAGCGCCGGAATGCAAAACGGACAACGGGGAAATGCTCGAATGCATGAGATGAACACGTATGCAAATGTAATGCACATGATGACATGATATGAGATGCATGACAACGACAACAACACACGGAGAAAAAACCCGAACCCGAGGAAATAAATATAACTTAACGCCGGAAACGGCAAGAGTTGGAGTACAAATAGGGAAAGTTACATCCGGGGTGTTACACCAATCTAGGGCTCCGGCGGAGCTGTTCTACCGGGGAAACTTCCCTCCAGGAGGGGGAAATCATCACCATCGTCATCACCATCGATCCTCTCATCGGGAGGGGGTCAATCTCCATCAACATCTTCACCAACACCATCTCCTCTCAAACCCTAGTTCATCTCTTGTATCCAATCTTTGTCCCAAAGCCTCAGATTGGTACATGTGGGTTGCTAGTAGTGTTGATTACTCCTTGTAGTTGATGCTAGTTGGTTTACTTGGTGGAAGATCATATGTTCAGATCCATTATGCATATCAATACCCCTCTGATTATGAACATGAATATGATTTGTGAGTAGTTATGTTTGTTCCCGAGGGCATATGAGAAGTCTTGCTATAAGTAGTCATGTGAATTTGGTATTCGTTCGATATTTTGATGACATGTATGTTGTCTTTCCTCTAGTGGTGTCATGTGAACGTCGACTACATGACACTTCACCATTGTTTGGGCCTAGAGGAAGGCATTGGGAAGTAATGAGTAGATGATGGGTTGCTAGAGTGACAGAAGCTTAAACCCTAGTTTATGCGTTGCTTCGTAAGGGGCTGATTTGGATCCATATGTTTCATGGTATGGTTAGGTTTATCTTAATACTTCTGTTGTAGTTGCGGATGCTTGCAATAGGGGTTAATCATAAGTGGGATACTTGTCCAAGGAAGGGCAGTACCCAAGCACCGGTCCACCCACATATCAAATTATCAAAGTACCGAACGTGAATCATATGAACGTGATTAGCTTGATGATAATTCCCATGTGTCCTCGAGAGCGCTTTCCTTCATAAGAGTTTGTCCAGACTTGTCCTTTGCTGCAAAAAGGATTGGGCCATATTACTGCACCTTATTTACTTTTATTACTTGTTACTTGTTACAAATTACCTTATCACAAAACTATCTATTACCGATAATTTCAGTGCTTGCAGAGAATACCTTGCTGAAAACCGCTTATCATTTCCTTCTGCTCCTCGTTGGGTTCGACACTCTTACTTGTCAAAAGGACTACGATAGATCCCCTACACTTGTAGGTCATCATCACAACAGTTGGAACTATAGATGGCCAAACGGGCCGGGATAGCTGGGCCGGCCCGATAGCACGGCCGGCACGGCACGTCACGTGCTAAACGGGCCAGGCCCGGCACGCGGCACGCCAGGGGCCGTGCCTGGGCCTGAAGGCCGAGCACGCGGGCCGGCACAGCACAGCCCGATTATCTTTTTATTTTTTTATGTATCCTAATGTGGCCCAACAGGTAAAAATAGGCTAAAAACGCCCGGTGCACAAAATAGGTGGCAGATTAGCAGGCCTAGCGTGCTTGTGGGCCGGCCCGATTAGCATATGGGTCGTGCCTGGGCTGAAGGCTGCAGCACGCGGGCTGGCATGACACGGCCCGTATAATAATCGTGCCTCGGCGGGCCGGGTCGTGCCAGACACGATTAGGATGGGCCGGGCCGGGCCGGCCCGTTTGGCCAGCTATAGTTGGAACTGGTCTACCAAATCATCGTCTTCACCAAGCTACTGGTTCTATTTCCTCAACCCTTTCATTTCGTCATTCTTGTATTGAAGTACTTGATCGTTACTGTTTGAAGACTTTGACTGAAGACTTTCTCAATTTCCACAATCCTATTTTTCAGTCAGGTTGTCTTCAGCCTGCTTGTCCTGTTTATACGCTACTTGTACTCTGTGCTTGTTTTCATTTCATCATAATGACTGTGCTTCTGTTATGTTATGCATGCATCTGAGTACTTATTCCGCTGCTAAGTAGTTTGTTGCTTAGGAATTTCCTCACCTAGAAATTCTTTAGTGACGAATTTGTAAAAATCGCCTATTCACCCTCCCTCTAGTCGATATAACGCACTTTCACATGTAAACCCT